CCAATGACTCCCCCACTTACTAGGCCTCTACCTTCCTCTCGGTGCCCTGTGTATCCAAAGGGGGGGTTAGGGGGCCAGGTGAAAAAGCCCCCATGGAACCCACCCCAGAGTTCCTGCGCCCCCACTCTGATCAGTTGCAGACCACATATTGAGCGGCTGTCCCGTGGCACACACTGGGGTTCTGAAGATTCCTGAAGTTTACAGTCTGGCGGGAGAGCTGGGTCCTAAAATACAGAATGTGGTTTCAGAGAGTGCTATTTGAAAACAAAAGTGATGGGGAGGCAGGAGAGACGGGGGATGCTGTGGGTGGTGGTGTGGTCAGTGAGCACCTCAAAGCAAGGCCGTGGGGGCCCCGATTTCTTTCCAGCGATCCAGGTGTGGAGATGCGGGGTGCTGGGTGGGCGTAGGGGGTCTTTGGGCAGTGATGAGCAGAGACTGGCTGTTCTCAGGGCTCCGGCTGGAGGGCGTGTACCGGAAAGGGGGTGCCCGTGCCCGAAGCCTGCGCCTCCTGGCTGAGTTCCGGCGGGATGCACGGTCAGTGAAGCTCCGGCCAGGGGAGCACTTTGTGGAGGACGTCACTGACACGCTCAAACGCTTCTTTCGAGAGCTGGATGACCCCGTGACCTCTGCACGCTTGCTGCCTCGCTGGAGGGAGGCTGCTGGTATTCACGGACAACCAAAGTTCCCCCGCCCCACCCCCCAAGAGCCTTGCCCCGACCCCAGAACCCATGAGACTCCCTGTGGGCTTTGGCAGTTGCTTCCCCACCCTTCCCCACCCTGGATTGGTTCAGGGCCAGGTGGGGAGTGGGACAGACATGCAATACCCTGGGTTTATTTTTCTAAGAATCCATCCGCCCCAGCCACGCTGACCTGCCCCACCCCCCCTCCGTCTATCTCCAGAGCTGCCGAAGAAGACGCAGCGCCTGGAGAAATACAAAGATGTGATTAGCTGCTTGCCTCGGGTCAACCGCCGTACCCTGGCCACCCTCATTGGGCATCTCTATCGGTCAGTATGGTCACCCCACTGCCTGCTCCTCACCAGACCCATGCCACCTTGCTCTGACCCCGCCCCCCCACCAACTTACATCCATGCAGTTCACAGCAAGTTTTAGGGCAAGGGGTCAGAGTTCAGAGGCTGGATTTGGGGGACAGTCAGACCCAGGCTTTAGTCAGGTTCCGTCATGCTAGCTGTGTGGCTTGGGTAAATATTTTGCTCTCGTTAGACCTCAGTTTCCTCATTGGCAAAAGGAAGATGGTGGAATGGATAGTGCCTACACCATGGACTACGCAGGGTTAAATGAGATAACACTTGTCAGTTCTTCTTCATTTAAAATCGCGGTTTTATTGCATTTTCAGTGGACGTATACGAAGCAAAACAGACTCCCGTGCAACACTCTCTCCACCCTTCGCCCTTAGCCCAAGAAACCTTGGTGGCAGGGTGGTTATGCATTGGGCTGCTAACTGTCAGGTCAGCAGTTCAAAACCATCAGCTGCACCTCAGGAGGAATACAGGCTTTTTACTCCCATAAGGAGTTGCGGTCTTGGAAACTCACAGGGGCAGGGCTGCCCAGTCCTTCACAGTCACCGGGAGTCGGATTTGACTTGAGGGCAGTGAGTTTGACCTGGAGTAGGGGCTCAGTAAGTCCTTGCTGAATGAGTGGATGGATGGGGAGCAGGTGAGTGCCAGCTGAGCTCCTGGTGCCCCTCGTGCCCCTCTAGGGTGCAGAAGTGTGCAGCTCTAAACCAGATGTGCACCCGGAACTTGGCCCTGCTGTTTGCGCCCAGTGTGTTCCAGACCGATGGGCGGGGGGAGCACGAGGTGCGGGTGCTCCAGGAGCTCATCGACGGCTACGTCTCTGTCTTTGATGTAAGCCCCGTTGCCCCTTCCCCGCAGATTCATTCTTGAATCCTGCTTTCCCAACAAGCTCCCAGCTCTACATCCTGGAGCCCTGGGCCTCTTTGTCATGTCACCTTGCTCTTAACACCTTCACCCCTTGTTCTTAACTCTTCTACCCTTTAACCCTTGCATATAGGTCCTTTGGGGGGGGGTGGTGCAGCTCTCCCTCTCCTTCCGTCCTTTCCCAGCATACCACCCCCCACACACACACACATATACACACACTCCCTTTTGGCTCTTCCACAGATCGACTCTGACCAAGTAGCTCAGATTGACCTGGAGGTCAGTCTTATCACCACCTGGAAGGATGTACAGGTAACTTATCTTGACCGCTGATATCAGAGTAGGAAGCTTACCTTCTGCCCAGCAGAGGATGCTTCCTTGCCAGTCTGACCTCTGGAGACTGGCCTCGACTCTCTGGGCAGAGGGGAAATTCAAAGATGTGCTTCAGTTGGGGTTGCGTGGGGGTTGTGCCCTTTTGTCCACTGTGATGATTCTTCAGTACAGAATGGGGGTAGAGCACCTGCCTCCAGGTGCACGCGGTCCCTAGAAGAGTCAGTTGGATGAAGAAGTAAATAATAAGTATAATAGCAAATGTTGGTTGAGAACGCGTTGTACTCCAACTATCTCTAATCTTATTTTGGCATCACACAACTCTATAAGGAGGTAGTTTAAGTTCACCAGTGAAAGAAATGAAGGCTCGGCGGGTCACTTACTCAAGATCACACTGGAGTGAGTGGCAGGGCTGGAACCTAGACAGTCTGACTCCAGGGCTGTCCTTACAACCTGTCTGGGGGGGCCCTGCACTCAGCCTAAAGACACAGCCCTCCAACCCTAGCATTATACATTTCAAGGGCCAAAGGGATGTCGAGGGTGGGATGGAAGGATCACTCTGTGGGGCACGTGATGGGGAGGACAATGGGGAAGCCTCTGACCTTGATCATTTGCGCTTTCTTGTGTCCTTCCTCCTGGTCTCTCTACTCCTTCCTCAGCTGTCCCAGGCCGGAGACCTCATTATGGAGGTTTATATAGAACATCAGCTCCCTGACAACTGTGTTACCCTGAAGGTCAGTCCTGAGGGGCCTGGAGGAGAGAAGGGAGAATGGTGAGGGCCAGGGACATCGGCTTGACCAACACGCTCTTTCGCTGATTCTAGGTGTCCCCAACACTGACTGCTGAGGAGCTGACTAACCAGGTACTGGAGATGCGGGGGACAGCAGCTGGTATGGACTTGTGGGTGACATTTGAGATTCGTGAGCATGGGGAACTTGGTGAGTATAACTGTGTGTGTGTGTGTACGTGTGTGTGTGGTCAAGGTCACCAATGACCTGTCTTGCACAATCCAGTGGACACTGGATATGAAAGGACATTGGACACCATTGGCCTACTCACTTTCTCAATATTCTTCTCTCTTGGCTTTTGTGAAGCCCACAGTTCTTGGCTTCATGTCTACCGCAATGGGAATCTTCGTCTTCCTTCATCTACACTTCAACTGCTGGCGAGATCTTGGGCTCAATCTTTTCTTTCTCTATTTCAGGGCGCCATGGTGGCATAGCTGTTAAGCAATGGGCACTTAGAAACTACCAGGTGCTCTAAGAGGAAAAGATGGGGCTTTCTGTTCTCATAAAGATTTCTAGTCTTGGAAATCGACAGGAGCAGTTCCATCCTGTCCTATAGGGTCTCCATGAGTTGCCGTCGACTCAAAGGCAGGCGAGTTTGGATCTGAGTTTTTCTCTCCACTTCAGGGGTCCTGGTGGTGTAGTGGGTATGCTTTGGGAGATTGGTTCACATTCTGATGAGGCTTTCGGCTCCCCTAAAGAGTTACAGCCTCAGAAACCTCCAGGAACAGCCCTGCCCTGCCCTGCCCTGCCGTGCCGTTAGGAGTCAGAATGCACCGAACAACAGTGGGTATGAGTTTTTTATTTATCGCGACTTCTCCTTGGGAGAGCTCGTTCATTCTCATAGCTTTTCACCCACTGCCCTTGAGTCAACTCTGACGCATAGTGATCCCACTGGACAGAGTAGAGCTGCCTCATTGGGTTTTCAAAGCTGCAAATATTTTTGTAACAGTTTGATTGGCACTTCATCCGCTTGTCATACGATTCAATAATTCAGTCATATGGAGGAGAGTTGTATGATCGTAAAAAAGCTGTAAAGCACGCTTTCCCCATTTTTCTCTTCAGAGCAGCTGGCAGGTTCCAACCACCTCGCAGCAGCTGAACCCTTCACCACGAGAGCTTCTGCTTTACAGTTTTAAATAGAATTAATACCCTGACAATCACATGTTTACCTCTGGCCCAAATGTCTCTTCGGAGCTTGATTCACAGCCTTAGCTACACACCTGACATCTTCATGTGTACATCTCATAGCCAGATCAAACCAAAGTTAATCTCCAAATTCCTTCCCTACCCCAAATCTCAAGGCTTTTCCTAGTTTCTGCCAACTCGGTAAATAACACCGCCATCCATCCAGGTGTCCTCTGTGGCTTCTCCCTTTTCTGCATCTCCATACCCAGCCCATCGACTAGTCCTGTCCGTTCCAATCGAAGCTGTCTGTTCTCTCCATGCCCACTGTTAGCATCACCATGGCCAATGTTACCATTCTCTCTTGCCCTCACTCTCCCACTACATTAACTACTAAAGTGTATGGCCCTGAAAGAGAAGTGCTGGACTGTGTTCCATTCTTGCCTGCCTTTTTTTTTTTAATCATTTTATTAGGGGCTCATACAACTCTTATCACAATCCATACATACATCAATTGTGTAAAGCGCATTTGTACATTCATTGCCCTCATCATTCTCAAAACATTTCCTCTCCACTTAAGCCCCGGGCATTAGGTCCTCATTTTTCCCCTCCCTCCCTGCTCCCCCCTCCTTCATGAACCCTTGATAATTTATAAATTATTATTTTGTCATATCTTGCCCTGTCCGATGTCTCCCTTCACCCACTTTTCTGTTGTCTTTCCCCCAGGGAGGAGGTCACATGTAGATCCTTGTAATTGGTTTCCTCTTTCCAACCCACTCTCCCTCTACCCTTCCAGTATCGCCACTCACACCACTGGTCCTGAAGGGATCATCCGCCCTGGATTCCCTGTGTTTCCAGTTCCTGTCTGTACCAGTGTACATCCTCTGGTCTAGCCAGACTTCTTGCCTGCCTTTTCTGCAGAGCAACCAGATGAATAGCTCAAGCACAAACCAGTTCACGACATTCCTACTGTTAAAAACCTCCAGGGACTTCCTATTGAACTTAAAATCTAAACTTTTTTCTTTTCTTTTTTTTTTAAATCTAAACTTTTTACTGTGGCACACAAGGTGCTTCTTCCCACCCCACCTACAGTTTCTCAGCCCTTATCTCGCGTCACTGTTGGTTTTGTTTTTAAAGCTGTCTTCTTTGCTTTAGTGACAGTGGCGATAGTTCCCCAAACACATTCTTTCCTGAAATCTTCTTCCTCCTGATCTTCCTAAGTCCTCGGGTCTCTTCACATGTCGTGTCTGAAAGGCTCGCTCTGATGACCCTATCTCAGTGGCTGCCCTGCCACTCTCTCTCTCTCACTCAGTTTATTGTTTGCAATGGCACGGGGCCCCTGCTCTGGCTACAAAAGGGGGAAGGAGAATCCAACTCCAAAGATGATTCCTGTGAGGCAGAGGTCAACTTGCCTCCATCCTCCATCCTCCTTTACCCTATTCTGACAGCAACCGTCCCTCCCACTGCACGCTACTTCTCTGCGGGGCTCCATAGCACTGGCCAACACATACTTTGGTGCCTCAAATGTTAGACTTGTTTCTGGACATATTTGACTTGCTGATGCCAAAAAATGGCACCAGCTTTCCCCTACCAGCTCTAGTTTTTGAGATACAGAGCATATGCCAGATACTAGTCTTCTCTGTCTCACCCATATAAAAATATCAGGATATTTTAAAGTAATATTAGCTAGCCTGAGATACAGGAACTTTACACTGGCTTTATTGTTGTACTAAATATTTAGGTCAAGTTAAACTTCACATGGTGCCCTTTGATTCAAAGATATATTTGGACAGTGAAAATTACATGAACTTGAAGTTTAACCAAAGTTATCACTTCACCTTTATTAGGAACTGAATAGCAGGCAGTTCCAATTTGTTATCTTAAAAAGGGGCCAGAAATAAGAGTTACTGTACAATAAATAAGGAGCCCTGATAACATAATGAGTTATATGTTTGCTAACCACAAGGTCAGTTATTCAGGCCTACCATCCACTCTGCAAGAGGAAGATGAGATTGGGGCTCTCATCGAGATGTCCAGCCTCAGCCATCCACAGAAGTTCCACTCTATCATACAGGGTCACTGTGAGTTGTGATGAACTCACTGGGAGTGAGTTTTACAATAAATATAGATCTAAATGTTCTGAAATCCAAAATGGATCTTCCAGATTTCAAGCTCCTTTATTAAAATGAAAATGCTTCAGCCTTGTTATAAGATGGCATAACATCTCCACCTGTGCACAGAAACTCTTAAAGAAAAGTTAGTTTTTCTTATAAAGAAGCTTGGAGCCAACCTCACCTCTGAAACATTTAACATGGATTATCCATTGACTTCTATATATTAAAATGTGTTCCAAATGTTTTCTTTGATGAAGAAAAAAATTTTTTTTGTTAAGAAGAAAAATTTTTATCTTCAAAATATTTATGAAAAAATTTTTTTAATTTGTGAAAATTGCTATGAAGTCTTACATTTTGGACATTCTACATGGTCCTCAGACCTTTCACATAGGGGTGGGGGTTCAATTTTATTTTTTTATTTTCCACTCTTCTAAAGCTGTTTGCACTATCCAAATTTGGAGTGTTTGTACATATCACATAGCCTTCCATACCAAAAGATCAAACTCACGGCCATCTAAATGGTTCGAACTCATAGTGACCCAGGTCAGACAAAGAAGAGCGGCCCCTTTGGATTTCCAACTCTTTTAAAGGTTGTGGAGTGACTGGTGGGTTTGTACCACTAACCTTCTGATTGGCAACTCAATGCTTAATCAACTAGCCACCATATGGGTGCATATACCACTTCCTTGGAAGTCCTTAAATACGTCATTTTTTTCAAATATTTCTTGCTCTTTGGTCTTCTCCTATATATAATATATTTGTCTGAATTCTTCTCATATTAAAACTAGGATAATAAATTAGTATAACTTAATAGCTAAAAATATAGTAGAACATCCTGTCTAAGACACTAGAGCTGATAGGGTCTATCCAATGTGATTTTCTGAACCAGGTCCCCACATAACCCCAGGAACAGGCCAAGACACCAAGAAAAGCTAACCAACCACACACAACTAACAGACACTATTCAGATGAAGGAGTGTATTAGGGAAGCTAACAGGTTATGGAATGGCAAGCAGACGGCTCCTTTGTCCACAGCGTCTGATCTTAGTCGGGCTGGCAAGCATCTCTCTCTTTCTCTGGTCCTGGGCGCCTCAGCTGTGTGGTCCCGAGGCATGTGCCCTTCTTGGGCAGATGTTACAGATGGTTAGCACTGGTTAATGCCTAAAGGGCTCCCTACTCTGTAAGCCTTCCTCCTGCCCGAAGGCACTCAGCTTTATTCTCATGTCTCAGTGCTGTGGCTAGGGGCGCTTCTGGTGCCTCCACCCCTTCAAGCAGGGATCTCAAATGCGGTCTGTCAGTCTGTCAGGGGTGCTTCTTCCTTGAAGGTTATAAGATTCTCTCTTCTTGGTCCTGAGACGGCTCACTTTTATGTCCAGTGGAATGGTAAAACGGAGACCTCTACACTTTCTTTGCATCCCACCAGAAAATGGGTGGGAGTTACAAAGACTATGAGCCATAGCAAATCACTTCATTCACCACAGTCTGCAATTATTTGGTTTGCTTACCTGTTTACGGTCTTCTTCCTTAATGAGGCAGTGAGTTTTATGAGAGCAGGAACCACGCGTACGGTGTTCATCACTGTGTGCCCAGGGCCAGTCCAGTGTTAAAATACATATCGTGAGCTGGATAATTAGAATGAATGAGTGAATGAGAGACCAGTGGGGGTTGTAAGTGGGAATTCCTCTGATATTCATCTCTATCTTGCCCATTAGAGCGGCCGCTGCACCCCAAAGAAAGGGTCCTAGAGCAGGCCCTGCAGTGGTGCCAGCTCCCAGAGCCCTGCTCAGCCTCCCTGCTGCTACGAAAAGTCTCCCTTGCCCAAGCTGGCTGCCTCTTCACAGGTGAGCCTTCTTCCTCCAGATCCTGCAGGCCTTCCCCTGGGTCCTTCCACCCTGCACTGCCATTGCCTATCTGTGCCCAGGTACCCGGCGTGAGAGTCCACGGGTGGGGCTGTTGCGGTGCCGAGAGGAGCCACCCCGATTCCTGGGAAGTCGCTTCCAGGAGAGATTCTTTCTAGTGCGCGGCCTCAGCCTGCTACTGCTCAAAGAGAAAAGGGTGAAGCCCTGGGCCAAGGGGAATGGAATGCTGGGAGGCCAGAAAGGGTGGAAATGTGGCTGCACTTACCCTCTTAACAAATCTCATCAATCGCATTGCCTCCCTGGCCACTTGACTCCTCTGATCTCATGACCCATGATCCACCAGCCTCCAATGCTTTCATGCCTTTTAAAAAAATACATATTTTACTGTTTGCAGTGAAGGTTTACACAGCAAGTTTGGTTCACGATGAACAATTCCTGCACACGTGACACTGGCTACATTTTACACAGTGCGACAACTTTCTCATTGTTTCCATTCTGGTTGTTCCGTTTCCAGTGCTCTAGTATCCTTGCCCCTGCCATGCCTTGTCTTCTTTCCTGTGAGTGTTGGCTGTTTGGTCTCATAGAGATGTTTGTTTTGTTTTTTTAAAGGAGCTCACTACTCACAGGAGATGTTTTGTATTTCATGGCTATTTGGTTAAACAATGGCTTCATGGAATAGTTACAGTTTGAGTTTTAGCTCTGGGTGATAGTCTCAGGGAGTCCTCCAGGCTCAACTGGGCCAATGAATCTGTACTTTTAAAGAATCTGAATTCTGTTTCACCTTTTACTCTCATTCTACTGGAATCCAGCTATTGTGTTCCTGATCAGAATGGTAGGTGGTGGTAGTCAGGCACCGTCTAGTTCTTCTGATCTTAGCGTAGATAGGGTTGTGGTTTACGTAGACTCGTCCTGCGGACAAGCTTCTCAAAGTCTTTGATTCTCTTAATTAATTTTTACTCTAGATATGTAGAGACCAACAGTCGTATCTTAGGTGGTTACTTGCAAGCATTTAAGGCACCAGCTGCTAGTTACCAAACTCGGATGTAGAACATAAATTTGATATACTACATTATACCAATGGAACCAGTTGTCCCACAAGACCATGGTCCTAAGCCTTCAGACCCTGCAAGCCAATCCCACAAGTTACTCCATAAATATTCATCTTTGTGCCCCCTATTTGGTTTTTTGTAGATAGGAATATATATGGCTGCATGTGTGTATGTAGGTGGGGGCACATATAGATGTACGTGTATGTATACACAGAAGGGTAAGTCAAAAAGTTTTGTTCCTAGGGTTCTATTTCATATATGCACAGGCTTATTCCAATGGACAGCTACAGACAAGTCCTCTTGTCTTAGTCACGTAAGGGTACCTTCAAAAGAGGTCCAATCAAAGCTGAGGGAAAAAGAATAACTTTTAAAACAACTGAAAAACAAACCAGCTGAGGGGATCTTCTGAGGCAGTTAGCTTTAAGGCAGAGGGGTCAGCTCAGAAGGCTACGGTGGTTGTCTTGTGGGATTTTGAAAGCATAATCGCAATCATCTCAAAGGACACAAGACAATCGTGGGAGCTTATTGAGAAGACGTTTTAAGAGGATGGAAAATTGTGTTGGTGAGCAAAAGGCCAGGAAAGGTGCACCCCGTAAGAATGCCTGCCATTCTTCAAGGGCAGCCAGGGGTGTCCTATGAGTGGTTTGTGGGGAAACTCCACCCTGCGCACCCGATAGCCCTGATTTTGCTCCTTCAGACGTCTTGTTGTTCGTCAAACTCAGAGAACATTGATAGTGAACACGATTTCAGTCTTCAAGGAGGCCAAAACTGGTTTGGACGTGGTATAAACCAAAGAACACAAAATTCTTTATGGAAAGGTCACAGAGCCAGAAACACTGCCTTCAGATGAGTATAGGCTTAGATGCATGATGCTTTGAGATTCAGGAGCTTCACATTGTAATATATATATTTTACTATAAGTTTCTGTGATTTTGTAGCAACACTTTTGTACTTACGTACATACCTGGGCATAAATCCATACACTTGTGTCTGCACGCTGATTCAGTTGTTGTTTGACCATTATATATGTCCTCGCATTCAACGTAATATATATATATATATTTTAAACATATACTTTTTTCTTGCATATTTCTTTTTTTTTCAAATCTAAAATTTTTATTTAGAGATTTAAAAAATCTTTTTATTAGGGGCTTTTTATTAGGGGCTCATACACCTCTTATCACAATCCATACATACATCAATTGTTTAAATATATACATTCATTGCCCTCATCATTATCAAAACATTTGCTCTCCACTTAAGCCCCCGGCTCTTGCATATTTCTTAGTGACATCATTTACCCTGGCCCAGCAGTGCTCACTTCATCCACATTTACTGTTAGAGAAGGGACACTGATTTCAGCATGCACACCCATTCTTGCCATTTTCTAAGCGTGAGATCATAGGGCATTTGTCATTCTGCATTTGACCTACTTCACTCAGCAGAAGATTCTCTGGTTTCATCCACGTTATACTGTATTTTGGGAATTCCATGCCTTCTTGACTTCATTAACCACTATCTTCTTCTCATCTCTTTGCCCCACTGGCTGTTCATATTCTCAGAGCTCTAAACCAGAACGAGAGTGGCCTCTGGAAGGTGCCAAAGTCTACCTGGGAATCCGCAAAAAGCTAAAGCCTCCAACACCGTGAGTTTTCTTGCTTAGCTCATCCTTCTCGGACTTTCCTGTTGTCACCTTTCTGACCACTCTATCACTGTTCTCTGCTCTCAGGTGGGGCTTCACATTGATACTGGAGAAGATGCACCTGTGAGTCCCCCTCTGTGTACTCTGGCTTGTCCTCTGGCCCAGCCCGATACCTGCCCTCCATCTCCTCCCTCTTTGCCTGCTCTGTCCCTATAATTGTGACTCCTCCCCTCCCCTTAATCACCTCCAGCTACCTGTCCTGCACGGATGAGGATGAGATGTGGGACTGGACCACCAGCATCCTCAAAGCCCAGGTGAGGGGAAGGAGGAGGCTGAACACTAGGCCTGTGGTCCCCTGGGGCCTGGCTCCCCTCTTCAGTACCTATCTGTGCCAACCCCTCACCTTCTCATTAGCACGATGACCAGCAGCCTGTGGTCTTACGACGACGCTCCTCCTCTGACCTTGCCCGTCAGAAGTTTGGCACTATGCCCTTGTTGCCCATCCGTGGGGATGACAGTGGGGCCACCCTTCTCTCTGCCAATCAGACCTTGGTAAGGCCCAAACTTGTGTCAACCTCGTTCTACGCTCTGCCCTCTGCCCTTGCTGCACAGCAGGGGGAGTGTAACCTGGTGCCCTCTCCTGTTACTGAGCCCCACCCTCGGCCTTCTCTGTGGATCCCACTCCCCACTTCTGCCTCCTGTTGCCAAGCCTCACTGTGTCTCTGTCTCTCCTTTCCTCCCCGCTCCATCTGTGCCCAGCGGCGACTACATAACCGGAGGACGCTGTCCATGTTCTTTGTGAGTACTGTGCCCGCTCCAGCTGTGTGCTGTGCCTGCCGGCCCTGTGCTCCTCTCTGCTACCTGATGTGGGGGTGCGATGTGGGTGTGCGCTCTGCAACTGTCCTGACACCAGCTTGGGAGGACCCCTCGGAGTGTGTGTGTGTGAGATGTGTGTGTGTGTGTGTGTGATGTGTAGCACACCCACAGCGGTGGGGACAGGCTATGGAACATGAGGGAGAATGGGGTGTGGTAAGAAAAAGAAAGAGCCATGGGATTTGAGAAGTAGTAGATAAGTGACTACGTGGGTTCCAGCCCCAGCTCTACCGTGCACCCACAGTGTGATCTGGATGGTCATTAACCCCTCTGAGCCACTCATCTGCAGTGGAACCCACCACCCAGGGCTCTGCGGAGACCTCCATGCCAAGTATTTTGCATGTCCACTACAGAGGAAACTCAGGAAGGGTTAGTGATGACTAATCCACTAACTCCGATTCTGTACCCACTTCCTGACACCGCCGTGCCCATCCAGCCCATGAAGTCATCCCAGGGGTCTGTGGAGGAGCAGGAGGAGCAGGAGGAGCCTGTGTATGAGGAGCCAGTGTACGAGGAAGTGGGCGCCTTCCCTGAACTGACCGAGGATGCTGCCACCTCCACCGCTACCATGCCGGAGTGGACAGCCAAGCCAGAGACCCTCCTCGCCAGTCGGAGGTTCTCTGACCAGCCCCTCCTGTCCAAGGCAGGCCCTCTGGGCTGGGTGGAGAGGCCGCCCGAGCCCCCACCTGGTCCTCCTTCAAAGAGCAGCCCCCAGGCTCCGAGGTCTCTGGAGGAACAGCTGCTCCAGGAGCTTAACAGTCTTATCCTGAAGAAGGGAGAAGCCACCACTGGCTTTGGCAGCCCCTCCCAGCCTTCCAGCCCCCAGTCTCCCAGCCCCACTGACCTTTCCACACCGACATCCAGCTTCCTCACCCAACCCTCTTGCACTTCCAGCCCACCCTCTAGTCAGCCCCTCACATGACCCTAGGACCAGCGGTCAGAGGGACTAGATACCCTGGAAGCGCAAGACCCACACCAGGCTTTCACCAGAGAGAGACATTGCTGGGTGCTTCCTGTGCCCTGACTGCAAAGGCTTGAGAGTCCACAATGGTGCTGTTGACGGAGCACAGCACTGAGCAGTTCAGGAGGCTGCGGGTCCCACGGCAGCTCATGGCCCTTCTCTGAGCCTCAGAGCACTTCTCTGGACTGTAACTGAGATCAGAGTACACTGACTGCTGAACTGTGCTTCTCAGAGCTGTAAGCCTCCCATATTTCCCCTCCACAAGGACAGCTCCTGGTTTCTATATTTGATATATAAGTGCTCTGCGAGAGAGTCGGAGTTTCTAAAGAGTGGTTTTACTGTATTAAAAAAAGGCGGGAAAGCCAGATGTCTGGATCATTTCCCATCTACCCCACCCCACCTCCTACATCCTGGGACTACACTGAAACTCTGGTGTGGGGACGGTGGTGGGCAGGGGGTTAGGGCAAAAGCATGGATCACTGTTAATAAACATTACAACCAAGAGATCGCCATTCATAAACATTAGAACCATTCATTCAGGAATTATGTACCGAGAGCCCAGTTTGTGCCATATATCAAGGATATAGTACAAAGGAAACAGTTGGGATTCCTACTCTTTGGGAGCTTCCACTGTAGAGGGGAATAGAAACAGAACAGCAAATCCATGGACAAGCGAGCGGAGGGCTGGGCAGGAAGGAAGCCCAACTGATGGTTTGAGAGTCCTTGCAGGGGTGGTAATGGAAGGCTTGTGGACAAACTGGGTGGACAAGAAGGCTCGTGAAGGGCTGAAATTCAGGGTGAGCACCAGACATGGGGGGCAGTGGTGGAAGGAACCTCTGGAGAGGGACAGTAGCAGCATGGAGGCTCTGTAACAGAAGGGGCTTGTCTGTCAGAGGGACAGCTGGGGCCTGGGGAGAGGGGCAGGGAAGAGAACCTACAGCTGCTTGGCAGGGCCCAACGATGCAGAGCCTTGCCCACCATGCTCAAGTATCTGGATTTTATTCAGACGGCATTGTGAAGCAGTTGAGGGGGTTTAAGCCATTGGAGGAAGAGATCTTTCCTTAAAAAGAAAATTGCTCTCTGGCTGCTGTATGAGCAGTGCGTTGGAGGAGGGAGTGGCAAGCGTGGCAGAAAGGAGACCGCTCTCATGCCAGAAGCCAGGCAATGGGGCCTGGGACGAGAGTGGTGGTCTTGGGACTACAGGGAAGTGGAACAAGAGAGTGTGAGAAATGGAAGGTACAGGACTTGCTGATGGATGGAATCTGGGGGTAGGAGAAAGGGCACCATCCAGGCCGACCCCATGGGTTTCTGACTTTCTTAACCGGATGGAGGGTAGTACTGTTGAATGTAACACTTGTGGGAGGTGTCTGGGAGAGGAGCAGGTGAAGGAACTGATTTCAAAGTGAGGTGCCCACTAGATATACAAGTAGAAGTATCCCTGGGCTGTTGCATATGTGGCAATTGGGAGCCAGAGGCAATGACTGCTTCCATGTTGTGGGTGCAGGGCCAAGGGCAAAGGGTTGCAAATCCTCGGAAAGCAGAGGCAAAATGCATAGATTCTGAGGGGCTGAGCCTGAAGGGCAAATTCTAGGGGCGATGGGATTTCTGGGTCACATGCCTCACTGCCACTGAGTCCATTCTGATTCACAGTAACCATGAAAGGGCAGAGCAGAAGTGCCCCTGCGGCTTTCCAGGAATAGAAAGATTTCTTTTTCCTGCAAAGCCTCTGATGGTCTTGAACTGCTGACCTTGTGGTTAGCAGCCCAATGCGAAACCCACTACGCCACTGGGACTCCTAAAGCCATAGGCCTACTGGTCTGGTATTTTTTTCATTGTAGGTGAAGCTTGAGATATACCGGCGAGTGTGGTTACTTCCCAGCCGTCCGCTCCGGCAGGCTTTTCCGGTTCTGCGGAAATTGGGAAAAAGTCTAGGACCAGCCCTATCCGCTTTGTCAGGCTCATCTACACTCAGGTGTCCAGTGACTCAGTTTCCCTGTTCACCTACGGAGTTTCTGTTCATTCCCCACCTCCACGGCGGGAGTGTCAATCTGCATATGTAAATGAGCGATGGTTAAATATTAATTACAGGCAGAGTCAGCGGCTTCACTAGAAATAGAGTCCAGGCGTCTTGACTCCGAAGCCTGGGGCTCTCTCGCCCCACAGCCCAGCGGACGCGGCGTCAGTCCGGCGGCGAGGACCTTTCCCGAGTGTTCGCAGCAATGGCCGAAGTTTAGTTCCCGGCTGCCCCCTCGCGCTTCCTCCCGCAGAGCGGAGCGGACTAGCAGGGGGCGGGGCGAGGGCGGGGCGGGTCAGCAGGGCCCAGCGGGCAGGCCAGGCAGAACCACCTACTGTGGAGGTCACCCCTCCCCCTCGGGCACAGATAGGAAGTTCTAGGCTGGGAGGGTCTCGGGAGGCAACTTGTTGGACCTCGGTTTCACAGATGAGGA